GAAGCACAGGAATGCCAGCGCCCAACCCTTGTGACTAGATCACAGGTGATTTATTTTCACCTCATGCTGAGGGAGGATCCTGTGACTGGTTTAAAGGGAATTTAACAGGTCAGAAGAGTGTGCAATTGCAACAGATCAAAGTTCCACTTACCACAATCATTTACCACAGGGTGGAGAATGTTTTTATGAATTTTACATAATAAAATTAGTTTAAGTAGGATTCTATTTTAAGCTAATTTAATTGTTTTTAGTAGTTGGACACCTAATTAATCAATCAGTCAGTCAGTCAGTCAGTCAATCAATATCTATCTATCTATCTATCTATCTATCATTTCCTGTTTTATTTTAATATGCTTTTCAGGTCAAAGGAAGGCCAGAGATACTGTTTATTTTTTACAGTAAGAGTGCTGAATAAATTACTATTGCTGTGAGGTAAATACTCATGTGCTGTAAGGTACATACTCATGTGGCACATACCCTTTGGTAGATGTTTTAGATGGTTTCTTTCAGCAGACAGCAACTGAAGGTCAGGTGCCCAGGACATGCATTTCTGTTCTCCACTTGACAGGGTCCTAGTGCCTGACCGGTCCTTCTTCAAAATCAGAGACAGGCTCTCCAGAGCATTACTTCCCACCCAAAGGTGCAGAAGTCCCTTCAATTTTACATGACCAAAGCTGAGAGGAGCCAGAGAACGCAGGGCATTATTGGATATGTTCAAGGAAACCGCAGTTGGTGGTATGCGTGTGGGAATCTCAGTCAGACCCAAAGTAGAGCAGTTCAGGAGAGGACCGCGCTGGCACAAGCAGGGAACAGGACAGGCAGAGGTGGGGAAAGAAAGTGTCCCCCAGAGGTGGAGGAGCAACACTGCCACACCAAGCACTGAGATGTACGCTGACATTATAGTCAGCCCTGAATGATATAAACAACAAATAACAAATTGGAGAAGTGAAAAGGTAATCCTGACAGAACATGGCATACTCACCTTTGTATGGTACTATATAGATAGAAAAGACATGCATTTTTTTATTTATTCATTTTTACTGAGCTGTTAGGATGAAAGCAGAGAAATTCTCCCTCATGAAATCCATTGATGCACCACAAAATCAATGAAATCAATCATATGTACACACACATATACAGTTAAAGAGAGTCTAAATTATTAAACACTAATCCTTTGCCTAAGCTTAAGGGAAAATTCAAGTAAAACTTTTATACAACTCTCAGATAGACTGTATGAAAAAATACATAGGTTTGTTTAAAACTAACCTTTTAGGGTAGCAATTCTCCACTCGGCTCAGGCGATGTTCCGTCTGTAGCTCTGGATAATTACCAACAAAACACTGAGACCAACTGAGAAATTCTTTGACTTTAACTCCCAACTTTCCTAAGATCAAAGTCTAAATAATATTATGGCACCAGAGACACACACACACAAAGAACAATCTTTCTACAATCACTCACTTGCCTGAGTTAATGTCTTACTCAGGGTTGCTCCCTCCCAAGCATTTTAAGAATATAAAAAAGTAAAATAAATAAATGAAAATACACAAATAAATACAAATCCTATTTATTGTTCAATAAATAAGAATAAACAGCTTTTACATATGTATGCACTATGCAGTGATATATTAGTGAATTGCCACTAGATCATTGACCAAAATGTATAATTGACAAGTAAATTAATATCTTAACTCATTTGTCACATGATATAGTTAGCAGCTCTAATATTTGCTATTGTTGAGATGGATGCATCTAACAGTCCCAACAATCACAATATTTATATACACAATACATTACACAATAGTTTTTTTCAATCAAAACCGCATTTGCATTTATTAACAAAAACACTGCAATATGAAAGCATTTATTTGTGACTTCCCTTCTGACAAAGTTGAAAAGATCTTAAACCATAGATGATCAGATGGTTTCAGATTAACAGACTAATCCATTATAGGGTTGAAAAGAAAGCCACATCTCAGTCTCTTAAGATTTTTAGTTTGGACATCACAATATCCTATGCTCAGAAACAACAATAAATACCACACATATACCCAGATGAACCAGGCCAAGAAGGTTATATTGCACAAAATATCACACTCAGGTAACTCAATTATATATCATAGAAGTTTCCTGTTTTTATCTTATCAAAAGATATCATACTGGTACACACCTCTGAATATTTAATTAGTAATTTCTCATTAGTCCATAGCACTCAAGAGAAGGTGATTTGGCACTATAATATAAGCCTTGAAAATATGTCCCAGAAGTGATGCCTCACTATCCACTGTTTCAGGATCAGACTTACAGTGTTACTTATATAAAATGCAGCGTAAAGCCAGTTGCTGTGCTGATCCTGCTTCAATGAAGATAGAGGCTATTACAAAAAAAAACATTTGTGTTATAAAAACCAACCCTGAAAAAATCTCAATGACATCTGAGCTGTTTAATAATATAGGCCACTTTAAATCCCCTCTTCTAAAGCCACATTGGCCATGTAGAACTAGTTTTTCAGACCAAAGAATGGCGAAGGTTTATGATAGACAAACTATTTTAACACTTGTATCAGTCAAACAACACCCCTCTTTTTATGTGCCCATTTGATGGTTATTAATAACAGGAGGGGATAGTAAAAGAGTGTAATAATATTGCTCAGAAAATCACTGGACTCAATTACTCTGTTACAATACAATATAAAAATCACATGCAGTGAAGGCTGAAAGCAGGAAGCTTAAAGGCTGTAAAACACTGAGGTGAGCCAATGACAATGCACAGAGAGCTCTCGGCCATAAAAGAAAACGGTACTCTTTGTGCTGGGTCGGATTTATGGTTATAAGGGAGCCATTATCATCACAGAGGTATGTGTGTGTGTTCTTATAACTCTAATAAAGCTGAGTGGGTGTGTAGAAAAAAACTGTCCTAGTGGGTGGGAGTGTAAGGCGGATAGTATGCATTTTTTGTGTATTGCATGTGTATACACTAATATTATAATCAGGGGCGTCATGCACTCATTATTTTTGAGGGGGCACGAGTGGGGGGGGTTGGGGCGTCATGTGGCACAGCAGCCACAATAGCACTTATGTTCTTATGTTTTATTTATTTTTTTTCCTTTTTATTTGAAACAGCACTTTCATTGTACAGAAAGAGAGCAAAGAACATTTACATATACATAAATCACTTTGAATGGGCATGACGCCTCTGATTATAATTATTGTCCAGTTTTTCGGAAAATAAAAAACTAAATATTACCATCTTTGTATCTTTTGGCAGTTCACACTACATATTCATATGAAGGCATTAATGAGCATGTGTATGTGTTTTCCAGTGGTATTCCTTTCTCTTTCATTAGTGTGCTGCTCCACACGGATTGTCGGATGTTTGGCAGCCCATGTTGGGGTATTTGACCTGCACTCTGAATAGCGTCCCGTCTGCACACATGCAAAGTTTATACCTCTCCAGCCCTTCATTGAAGTACAGGTCTCCCCCTAAAGAGGAGTTCGGTATACGTGAAGGACTGAACATCACTGAGCCATTCAGAATAATGCTGTTTTCCTGCACACAAAATAGAAAAAAACAACATTCACACACTCCTATTTATATGTTTAGATTTTATATATACAGTATATATACAAAAAGTTTGGGGTCAGTAAACAGTACAACTGTTTTCAGCATTGATAGTAATTAGAAATGTTATTTTAGAAATTTTAAGCATATTAGAATGATTTCTAAAGGATCATGTGACACTGAAGACTTTTTTTCCTTTTTATTTGAAACATTCCCAAACGTATTAACTATATCATGAAAAATCTTGATTCTCACCTATGTTAGTTGATCTATAGTGGGCGATGGTCAAAGTAGCCTAATAATATAGTCTATTAACTATGCATAAAAACCTGTCTGTTTACTTAAAGGGATAGTTCACCCCCAAAAAAAAAATTAGCCCATTATTTACTCACCCTCAAGCCATCCTAGGCGTATATGACTTCCTTCTTTCAGATGAATCCGAAAAATCAATAATTTTGACAAATTCCATGTATTTTTGGCTATTGCTACAAATATACCCCAGCGATTATTATTATATTATTATTATTTATTTTGTGGTCCAGGGTCACATATACAAAATAAATATACACAGTAAACACATGTATTATGTAAACACAAACTTTTATTTTGGATGTGATTAATTACGATTAGTGCTTGACAGCCCTAGAAAAAATAAACATTTAGTTGACTTACAACTAAAAATTCAAGGAAAACTTTTCAACGCTTTTAACCACTTACTGCTTTTAGCTCAATGCCCCCACCCATGCTGAACTCCACAGTTTTGCCCATGATGTAAACTCCCTCGTTGCCACGAATAATGGCCTTACCATCTCCTTTGATAGTGAGGTCAGATGATGCATTGCTGGTGATCTGCAAAAGATAGCAGTGAGTCACTGTACAAACACACCTCATGTTTGACTAATCAAAAGACGTAGATTAAGACGATCATAAATCTCATATCAAGACTTTTCATGTGTAAGATTTGTCCTGACATATAAGTGATGTATGCCATGTGATAAAAATTTTACTCAGTTATTCAGGTTTCATAAGACTGTGAGTCAGGTCTGTTGCTTACTCTCTCAGTAGAGGCTTTCTTCACGTTGAGAACCTTGACCTCTTTGGGCAGGTGGAACTCATGTGTGTCAAAGTCAGTGCTAAAGAAAGTCGTCTCAGTGCGGGGGTCAGTGAAGGAAATTCCTAAGTCGCTGACGATAGACGTCTTATCTTCCTCTACACTCAGCTTGGTGTTGCCCTGCTGGAACACCACCTGTAACAGAGAACACCTAAATCAATACACTTTCTCATGTCATCACTCAGAGCATACAGACTTGTTGAAAGAAAGTCAGATACTATGCTGACTGACTGGGTTATTGTTGCCAGTAATGACAAGGTCCTGGTCCTTCCTGCCGCCCACTGTGCTTTTGTGTAGTGGATGGACCACGCCCATATCGGCCTTCTGTTTGAAGCGTAGCAGTCCACTCTCATGAAACTCCATACTTTCACAACCTCCAGGACCTATCCGTATCACTGTCCATATCACCAGTGTTATCTATAAAACACAGATAATGTATAAGTGTCTCTGTATTCAGTGAGCAGTAGAGATGGAACTTATATGAAAATTTCTTATATTTTTTTCAAAAATTATTTGATGCTAATTTTATATATAGTATAAAATTATAGTATATCCTATCATATTAATATCACAGACCCAACAAAGAACCGATAAACTCACAATGAGGTTGATGAGCGCAAGCAGAAAAAGTAGGATGATTATGCCAATGGCAATGATGCCCTTGCGACCCCTCAGTCCTGTTTTGTGAAGTCTCTCCTCTTCAATCGGAATATATCCAGCCTTAAAATTACTGTTGTGCTCTTTATTAACTGATCTGCGCTCGATAGCCTTCTCCCTCATAGACTTCTTCACCGGCGCATTTGGGATTTCCTGTGGATATAAGGAAAAATAAGATGGTACATTAGTTGGTACAATTATTGTCTGTTACTGCACATTTACTAGACACTCCGTTACTGCTACAAGAGGATTACCATACAAGAACCCCTTCAAAATATAGCAATACTCAGCTTTACTTAAATGATTTGCAAAATTGCAATTAAGATATTTTCTAGGCTTCAGTGATGAATTTGGGTGAAAAATTTCAATTACATTTACATTTACATTTAGTCATTTAGCAGACGCTTTTATCCAAAGCGACTTACAAATGAGGACAATAAAAGCAGTCAAAACTAACAAAAGAGCAACAATATATAAGTGCAAATGACAAGTCTCGGTTAGCCTAACGCAGTACATGTAGCAAGGTGTATATATATATATTATACACACACACATATACACACACATACACAAAGAAAAACAAGTAGATAGAATAGAAAAAAATAGAAAGCTAGTGTTTGTTTGTTTTTTGTTTTTTGTTTTTTAAATAAAAAAAAAGATAAATATAGATAAAGTAGAATTAAAATAGAATAGAAAGTGTTAGAGTTAGAGGGTCAAATAAAGGAGGAACAGATGTGTTTTTAGTCGTTTCTTGAAGATGGTTATTATTATGTGTATTATTATTATTGTTACAATTATGCCAGTATGTATTCAATTATTATGGTAGCCCATAGCCACACTTAAAATGTTTCATTTTTCTGAGAATTTATTTTCCAAATACATTTGAGCAACTGTTTTCAAGGTTAATTTTTACACAGTTCACACAGGTGTAATAGCATAATAACCAACGGCATAGTTCATTTTATCATGTTCACTAATGATTGACAACCACACAATGTCAAAATACTTTTTAATTTTAATTTAAACAGCACATATCTTTTATATAATAACATTTGATCACTTTGTATCATTTAATTCCTAGCATATCTATTTTGAATATGCTTACAATAAATATCATTTCAGTTTAATATTTTATAATTTAATCATTTATATTTAATTACGTAACTCAATGTTAGTTTTAAGCATGTCTTAAATGCTGTAATACTTTTGGGACCAGTATTACAGTGTGTAATAATAATACTTCATATTCTCAGTACTTAATATTTTGTTCTATCTTATCTCTTGGAGTATTTATTTAGTATATATAATTTTGGATAGAGCACTAAATAGTGACAAATGATTTTGAGTTACTTGCGGTACAAGGGAGTCTGATTGTCTGATGCGGGAATATGCAAAAAATAACATAAATCTCTGCCTATAACAACAATTTCTCCTTTTCCCCAGCCAAATGCATATTATTTTAGAATGAACTAACACTACACAATAAACACATTCGTGCTATTACAGTGTGACGGCTAAAAATGAAAGCAGTGTTGCTGTCTTCAGGAATGCAGTAACAGTTAGGTGAGTCCGTGTGTCTGTATGCCTAAAAATAAATGACACGCAGCCCTTTCCTCTGTAATAAACACGAGCGAATGGTTTTATTTTAAAGCTCCAAAGCATCACCATCCAGTATAACCACAGCAAACTCTAACCCTGCAATAATGAGTCAATTTTTCCATAAACGGACAGGGCATAAATCGCGCAGATGATCGTTATTCATTCACATACATCGCCATAGACATCGTTACAATTTTAAAGTTAGTATACATCGCTCGCTTTAACGCTCAAAATCGCTTGAAAAGCAATGCAAAAGAGAAAACATTTACAATTCACATTGAAAACAGACCTGCTCCGACGCCATGTTGACCCTCCCTCTCCCTCTCCAGACCACTGTACTGACAGCTTCACACACAGCCTGAGGAGAAACCACTGCGAGAGAACCGTTATCCGAACAATAGTTTCAAACAGCCAAACCTTCACATGGATTATACACTTCAAACCTGGCTAAATGAAATTTAGAATGAAATTTCCCATAAATATAGGCCAGTGTTGAAGAAGAAGTTAGTAACTTTTAAGGGAGCACTAACTATGTAAGATGGTTTGTTCCTCCGCTATAAAGAGCCAGTTGTGAGTCACATCTCGCCGTATAAGGAAAGTACAAATAAAGACAGAACATATCATAAAATGAAAATGACAAGAAACGCATGCTATGATATTTTTTTCTATTATGTCTTTATTTCCAACATTTTTAGTTTTTAGTTAAAATTTCTGTTTACACTGAATTTTTTTTTCCGTAGTATTAACAAAAAATAAAAATAAAATAAATACAACAAATGGTGAATATGACAACCTATATTTTAAAATACATATACAATATATTGTTAAATATGTTTTTTTTTTTTTTTTTTTTTTAAA